AACCACAGGCTAACATTTGCAAAACTACAAGCTAACCTTAGCAAAACCACAAGCTAACCTTAGCAAAACTAAGAGGCTAATCTTAGCCAAACTACAAGCTAACCTTAGCAAAACCACAAGCTAACATTTGCAAAACTACAAGCTAACCTTAGCAAAACTACAAGCTAACATTAGCAAAACCACAAGCTAACCTTTGGGGACCAGTAACGGAGCAGCACCTCTGACCAGTGGGAGTTTTTTAGGTCATTTCATGTTTCGCACATTTTTAAATTTTAGTTACTTCACTTCCTTCCTCCAGGAGAGCTCTGTGGCTCCGCCCCCCTCTGACCTCAGCTTCACGCTCCTGCTGCTGAACCCCGACTCCGCTGGGAACCCTCTGGATCACTTCAGCGCCGAGGAGGCAGGTCAGACCCCCCAACCCAAAACCCAGCACCCATCAGGACGGGTTCAGAACGTTCTGGGTCTTACCTGATCTATCTGTTGTAGTTCTACACGTCCTGTTGTGTTCAGTAATAAGCAGAGGGTTTTGGATCAGAACCTCGCTCAGGTTCCTCCTGACCCCGTCCACGTCATCCATGTGGGTCAGGGTGTTTCACGTGGACTCGTTCCTCCCCCCAGGGCTGCACGGCTTCTACTTCCTGCTGCTGCTAGCCTACTTCATCGCCTGCTGCATCTACGTGCAGCCGCTGCTGCAGGCTCTGAGGAAGGGGGGGCCCATGCACACCGTCCTCAGGGTTCTGACCACCGCGCAGGCTCTGCAGTGCTTCTCCGCCCTCTGCAACTACATCCACCTGTCCAGGTAGGCCCCCCCCCCTCCCCCAGGTGCACAGACGGGTTCATGTGGAGCAGTTTTCTGACCCCCGCTCCTGTTCCTGCAGGTTCTCCAGAGACGGAGCCGGTTCTCCTCTGATGGGCGGCCTGGCAGAGCGTACGTTCTCACATCGAACCTTTTAGCTGCGCTAACGCCAAGTTAGCGTTCGGCTGTGGTTTTCCTCTTTTGAGCTTTGCTTTTGTATGTTTGTGCACGTTTGAAGTCCTTCTGCAGCTGTTTTAACTGGATCAAAACCTTCGGCTCGTTCAGGAGACGAGTGATGTGGCGTTTGGTTTATGTAACTTTTATACTTTTTAAATTATTTAACTTAAATTAAAATAAAATAAAAACCCGGAGAACTACAGAGACCTCAGTTCCTTCAAAACAGTTTTGTTTTTAATCTGCTTCAGCTACTAGCTTTTTTTTGGAGTCTTTTTTAGCTACTTTTAGCTACAGTTTTGTTTATTTAGCTTAAACATCTTATTATTATTTTACTTTTAGTATCTTATTAGCTAGTGTTACAGTTCGGCTGTTTTTCCTTGAACTGCAGTTTGGCTAGTTTTAGCTACTGTTTCTGATTCTAGCTTTAGCGTCCGTTTTATTGTTACTGTTTTGCTTATTTTACTTTTCGTTTGTTTTGCCACTTTTAGCTACTTTTTTGTCTTATTTGAGCATTAGCATTTAGTTAATTTTTGTTACATTTTTGCTAATGTTACCTTAGCATCTAAGTTTTACTATTGTTGTGCTAATTTTAGCATCTGTTTTGCTAATTTTACTTTTAGCATTTGTTTAGCTACTTTTAGTTATTTTGCTAAATTTAGCTACATTTCTGATTTTTGCCTTTAGCTACTGTTGTTTTAACTTCAGCATCTATTAAAATTTTAGTTTGTTTTGTTGCTTTTAGCTACTCTTTTGCTGATTACAACTACAGTTTTTCAGATTTTGCCTGGATTCCGCTAAATCTAGCTGCTTTAAATTGTAGCTACTTTGCTGCTTTTAGCTGCTGTTGTGTTTGTAGGTTTTAGCTTCAGTTTTGCTAGTTTTAGCTACTGTTTTTACTGTAAAATCCATTTTATTATTTACCTCTGGCATCTGTTTAGCTACTTTAACTTACTGTTTTGCAAGTTTTAGCATCCATTTAGTTAATTTTAGCTACAGTTTTGCTAATGCTACTTTAGCATCTAATTAGCTACGTTTTACTAGTGTTGTGCTAATTTTAGCATCTGTTTTGCTAATTTTACTTTTTGCATCTATTTAGCTACTTTTAGTTATTTGGCAAAATTTTAGCTACATTTCTGATTTTTGCTTTTAGCTACTGTTGTTTTAGCTTCAGCATCTATTCAATTTTTAGTTTGTTTTGCTACTTTTAGCTACTGTTTTGCTGATTACAACTACAACTTTTCAAATTTTGCCTGGATTCAGCTAAATCTAGCTGCTTTAAATTGTAGCTACTTTGCTGCTTTTAGCTGCTGTTGTGCTGCTCTTAGCCTTTAGCTTATGTTCACCTCTGACCTGCTGTTTGAACTTAAATAGATCCATTTTAGCTTCGAGTTAAAATGGAGGTTGAGGTTGTAGGTTTGGCCCAGAAGGCGCGGCTGTCTTTGGACATTCCTTCAGTGAGACGTTGTCCTTGTCTCTGTCCTCAGTGTGGGACATGGTGTCCCAGGTGTCCATGCTGTACCTGTTGCTGAGTCTGTGCCTGGGCTGGACTCTGAGCCGGGGCAGGAAGCCTCAGTCCAGACCTCTGCAGTGGGAGCGGTCTCCGGCCTCCACAGCTGTCGCCGTGGGCGGAGTCATCACGCAGGTGGGTGGGGCTACGCACCGACTGTTCAGTGTGAGGAACGATCCGCTAACAGAGCCCTGTGGGGTCCAGGGGGCGCTGCTGCTGTGGGAGCAGTACTCCGGGTCTGAGGGGGGTCATCACAGCTACCACGGCCAGCAGAACCTGGCGGGTCTCCTCCTGGTGGGTCTCAGGGTGGTCCTGGCCCTGCTGCTGGCCTCCGTCCTCTACCAGATCATCTCTACGGAGAGGAGCACCCTGAAGAGAGACTTCTACTTCACCTTCGCCAAGGTACCACACACCTGACACACACCTGACACACACCTGACAC